TTTGATTCAATTTGGTTTGAATTGTCAGCTTTAGTTTTTGTTTTTTAACATGTGCCAAAGATGTACCCATATCAATCCCATAACCAAGTCTGTCTCGTTCACGCATCTCCTGAAGTCGAGCGGGACTCGGCGATCGTGATCTTTGACATAAACTTGTTGTCCCATATGTGGGATAAGGCAGTTGAGTGCGTTTACTGCGAGACAAATGACCACCATAACGAGAAGGCGAGGGCGAACGGGCCGGACTTGTCGATGCTGACCATGAACCTATATTGTACATATAACAACAATAATAAAGAAAAACAACAATAATTAAGGATGTCGGGGCACAACAGTTTACGTATCGTAAAAATCGTTTCGTGTTTGTTTCTATTTTTTTTTTTCTTTTGTTGCAATAACATTTTTTTTTTTTTTAGTATTATATTGGTTTTTTTTCACAAAGCAAAGTTCAAATCTAATTTCGGTAAATAATAGCAAGAAGAAGAAAAACGTAATTGAAAATCAAACAGAGAAATAAAGTGAATAAAAGTCATCATTGAATGCTAATTAACGGTAGACATATAATCATAATGATGTATTTACTAGGATACTACAACATTTGTTTTAGATAAAACTTCGGCAGGTCCGAATTCGAATGTATGCACTTTGATGTTATCGTATATAACATAAGTGATCTTTTCTCAGATGTGATTTCGTACACGATTGGGCTTCGTTGGATACGATATTGGTTAGGATTAAGATTAAGACCGATACACCTATGGGAACGTATTGGGTATAATTGAAATTTGAATCTTAATAAAAAGAACGGTATTCAAGCAATTATAAAAACGCATTTCTAAGCTTGGCAGACATTTTTGTTTTCAGTTTTCTCTTTTTTTTTTTTTTTTTATATATATAAATATATTTTCTGTAGTGGGATCAAAAAATGTAATGGAGCGCGTTCAAACAAATAATAGATATTTATATTAGTTTTAGCGATCGGCTCACACATAAAAATCATAAGTGCATTAAATATACATACATATTATAGTACATACATAGATAGGTATAGAGAAATGTGTTATTTAACTGTTAAATACCTCTTGGATACCGTGGATGATTGTTGCCATGCCTAGGATGCCGAGTCTCCTTGACCATCTCTACAACATTAGATACGGTATCGGAGAATCCGATATCATGATGTATGTATTGATGGCCGCGTCGTCTTGGACTTGGCGATCTGGCCAAAGGAGAACCGTTGTGTCTGCAAATAGATGACGAAAGCAATTAAAGATTTGACCTGAGCTATGCGAAACGGATTTTCGTGTCTGCATATACGATAATTGGCAGACTTGATAGGACTTTAGCATGCATCAATGATCTTAAAGTCGTTTGTAAGATGCATAAGAATGTAAAAGAGGTTGTCTAAAAATTCTTTGTGAAAAGTACAGAAAACAGACAAGTAGAACTTAAACTCGATCGATATGATTATGATCCATGAGCAACTTGAGCTCTTGTTAACCCTCTTAAAGTCAGAAAATGTGTAATTATTATTTGCCTTTAGATTGCCGAAGCGAATTTTAATAATAATGTTTTTTGAAAGCTAAAGGTGAAGTGGAGTAATTTGCTGTCAACATTTCTGTATCTGTTTGTATGTAGATTATCGCTGTCTAACATTAATTAATGATGTAAATAAGCAATAGTCATGCCGAGATATCAGTAATCTTATCTATCACCGATAGGTTCTACTACCAGAAAGTCATTATCTAACGATTAATCATTTTCATGCCCGCCAAACTCCAGTTAGGATAACAGCGCAAAATCTCGATTATGTGACGTCAGAACAGAACTATTAGTTAACATGAAACAGCTCTACTGATTACGTTAACAGTAATACTGATCCAAATCTCGATAGACTGACTATATTGAATGCCTAGTTATATGAAAAGCAGACTTCTAGATTTCGAATAAATTTGGAACTGAATTAAATTTGTTGATGAACTAACCTCGAGCTAGGCGAATGCCGATGGCCATTGATATACGAATGTCCAGGATGTAAATGGCCAGCATCGGGACCGGTCAGCGACTCCTGCGATGGATGTCTCGACGAGTCTTGCAGATCCAGCATCTAGTTAAGAAACGTGGTTGGAGCAGTTAGTGAATGGGTTGGAGAAAAATGAATGATACCATTTGAAATCAGCCGCGGCATGGACACCCGAATAAACATTCAAATATTTGATGGTTTAGTTTAATTTTCGATCTGATTGCTTCGCAAGCTGACGGCATTCAAATGAATTCATTCATTCCTTAATTCCAATGGGGTATATATATGTATATATAATTTGATTTGATTTTGGGTATACAATAAAAGCTACGAATGTTACCAATGCCCCGTACTGGAGCGCAGGGAATATAATATAATATAGTGTAATATATAATATATATATGATACGTATAAACAAAAGCGACAAAATGAATAGATTCACATACACATTTATATGGGGATATGTGAATGTATTCGTTTTGCGTGGGTATTCGTTAGGGGATATACATATACATATAATATGTTAATTAAGAAAAACAAAACAAAACATAGGAACAGAAAAAGAAGATACACATATACATATATACACACATACTTGTATATGCATGTATGTAAGTCTATGTGTATATTGCTTCACTGCAACAAAATACATATCCAAATGCGAATTTCAATTGCACTAGGTTGAAGTATCGAAAGGTTCTTAAATGCAGGATAACCTAGTTTAGGGCGTGAAACATTTAAACAATTTCATACACTACTTAAGAGTATACATGTATGTTTACATACTTGAACACTTTCAAATTAATTTAGATCATTTTTTGTTTTTGTTTTTTTGGTTATATTTTTGATTCTGTGTTTCTTTGTATTTTATGTTCTATTTGTTTTTCTAGCTCATTTAAGTTAGGTTTCTTTTTTTTTTTAATTTTTGTATTTTTTTTTCGAGTTTTTCATTTTTTGTCTTTTCTTTCGTTTTATTGATGTGCCAATCATTTAGTACCCAGATTCATCTACATATTGTCCTATATTTATGTAAAACCAAGTGATATATTGTTCAACTGAATCAAATATAAGTAAATGTGAAGGATACGAAACTTAAATTCAATAAAATACAGTTATAACTGACAAATGATGTTACATACTACGGTTGTCTATTCATATTTACATACAGTTAGTTGAGATATATACAGATATGCTACAAACAAATATGTACATGTGTGTTGTCTAAGACTCTGGATCTACAGATATATAGTACATCAATACAAAAGTTAGTTCGATTCAAGCAGTGTACAGTTCAAGGTAAAAACTAAGCGTGTGTGAATATTTACAGTTTAGCATCTACATATCTAAGTACATATATATATATAGATAGATATATGTAAGTATATAGTAATCTCATGCAATCTACGGATAGTTGTACTAGTTGTGTGCGTTTGTTTGTGGGGTACATATATTTGTATGGGATTATTCTGTTGGTTTCTGATTTCAAGTTCTGGTGGATGTGCAGCTGAGCGAGCGAGTGACCTGTCCAAATGTCCATCAATCAGGTAATGAGCCCGACTTACTTACCACGCTTTCACTAACCTACTTCGTGGACTTGCAAACAATAAACAATTAGGTAGAGTTTTCATTTAAGTGTATTCCTATCAGGGCGGTTACCAAGGCGGCACCAAAAACTTCGTTCTTTTGTGTTCTTCGAGGAGAGTGTGTGCACGAATCGGCACGAAAATAGTTGATAATAATGGAAGAGTATTTAACTGTTGTCTTGTTTCATTTTCTTGTTGTGAATTGAATACGTGTTTAGAGTTTGAGAACTACTTAAGAATACAATATAAAGGTCCTAAGTTATCAACAACAAAAAAACGAGAAAAGAAGAAGAATAATTTACTTTCCGTATTGGCAAGTGGGACACAATTTTTTTTTTTTTTTTTTTTTTTTTTTTTCTTTTTTTTTTTTTTTTTTTTTTTTTTTTTGTTGGGCTGAGGTAGGAAAAAATGCTTTATGCACCGTTATGAGAATATTGCTTCGATTTATCTGCAACCGTGCAATCCGGAGATATACTACTTGACTTCAAAAGTCTTGAGATTATAGGTTCAATGTGGGCGTGTCAAATCGGACATCACTTGATAAATTTTTATGCGATTGTCTATGGAAGTTGGAGACCTGGAATATGGTATTTGAATCCGAATTATACGACTCCGAAACCTTTATAAAGTTAAGGCTCTTGAGATTATCAAATTTATATTCCTTTTCGAATAGGCGTGATAAATCACAACATAATTATTAGTTTGATAGTTTATAGTTTGATCTGGTTTAGTTTATACATTGATCTTATCAATGTATATATCAAGAATTCAAAAAGTACAATTCTGTTGATCTCTTCTATTGACAGATCAGCAGCCATATCTATGGTTCGCCCATTAGACTCTTGTAAATCGGAGTAGTTCTATTTACTAAAGTGAACAGGTTGAACGGGTATTATGCAGTCGAGTGTGCCCGACTGCCATGTTCTTGATTGTTTTTCTTTTCTATTTAACAGATTTCGCATGGGTTGCTTTATGGCGAAGGCTGCAGGGATTTCATTAAGATAATTTTTGAGATAATATTTCGATTTCAAAATTTGAATTACGTCTCTGCCAATGCCAATTCGCTGTGAGAGCAGTGCCAGGCGAAGCTCTGTTAAATTGCCGAAGGAATGCTTACGTACATGTAAGTAATTAAGTACTTATACATACGATCAACGATCAACGATCAAATTACAACATTTAGTATGAATACTAAGCGAAGATTTGCTTCTCTAAACTGTTCAATAATGGCTATGCGACACACACACATATATATAAGTATACACATATTGGGATACATATATATGTATATATATGCATGTGCATGTGTATTTAAGGTATGTATGTAAGTTGCTAAATTGCTTACATTAAGTTACATCGCACGCATGTACATACATTTAGTTCTAGATGTACACACATTAATACTTATACTGTTACATACATACATTAATTTATACATATATAAATATATATATCAAATATTTATATATATAGYTGTGTATGTAGATGAGTGAGCGTATAGTTTCAAAGGTACTAGTGTTTTACTTCGACTTAAGTAATTTTGGTTTTTTCGAACAACATTTATATCGGAAACGGATTATGGACACAAAGAGTATTCACATATATTCATAGAGATAATATACACAATTATTGATTCTGGTTTAAGTTTTTAAATTTGATTGATAATTTCTTTTTGGTTTACCGCTTGGAGTTTATCAAACTTATTCACCTTTTTGTTTCTGAAATTATTTAAAAATTAGAAAAAAAACAATTTACTTATGTAAATGTACAAAGCACAGAGAGTTGTTAGTGTTTGTTTGATTGTTGTTAGTGTTTGATTGCTTGCTTGTTTGTTGTTGTTATTGGTATTGTGATTGTTGTGTTATTTTGTGAGTGAACGAAAGGGAAATTAAATCAAATATCCAAAGCAAAAGAAGTCTTGAGAGTCTCAGCAGACCCACACATAGCATATCATATGATTTTTGGAATTCATTTATTTATCATATACACATATGAATATGTATGTGGTAAGTCTGTTCTTTACATTATATAATATGTAATAAATGGCAAATGGCTGATTCAGATGAATACGAATCACACATATATGACATTTATATGGGATGCATATGTATGTATGCATGTGTATAATACATTTATGTATGTATGTATGGCATGTATGACATGTGCAGCCAGTACAGTTAAGAACAAATCGATTATAAGCTTTGGAATACCGAAATCTGAAATGGAAGATGTATCTTCATTTATTTGTTGGGTAACGGTTATTATGACGAACATCTAGAGAGTTCTATTGAGATCTACATGTATATAATGTACTTTAGTTTATATTATATTAAGTAAACTTGAAGTCAAGCTGGCTATATCAGAGACCATGGGGTTGTAATTTGATATCTCAAGTTAAGATCTTTAAATTTCATTAAAAGAAAGGGGATCTTGAAATCATCGGTTCTTTAAGTACTTTTGGATAACACAATACTATAGAAGTTCAAATGCAAATGTTTTCTGGAGTTAAAAAAATAAACCTCGAATGCAATAAATACATTATAGTTTAAGATTCGATTTGTCATGAGAAAGATCCATAAGGAAAGTAGAATCCTTTTGGTTATTGGCTTATGTCTTAGAAGAGTGCAGAACTATGTCATAGTCTTGGGCTGGTCAAAGCATCGCATTTCACTTTGTAGTAAACAATTAGCTTATGTAATCATCATTACGATCCTTAACGCTATAAGGAGTATTGACATACACTTCAGAATTTAAGCAAATCCTGAACTATGTCTATCGAATTATGATTCCATCTTTAAAACATTTAATAATACACTTCAAATATACAGGGTATACGAAGAGATTGGGTTAAGTTTTTTTCTATAACAAAATGCGTAATGGGTTGAGAGAGCAATTGAAGCAAATAAGTACATTTGATAGAGGTAAGACGTACGTCTTTGTTTCGCTATAGATATGAGGCTCAATCAAGGAGAGCTTCTAATGAGCGATACGAATGGATATGAGCGTAATAGCGAGCTGGTCATAAATGTACCCAGAGCAAAAGGTAAAGTTCTGGCTGACAATGAAGACTGGATGTAGTGATGTATACATAAACATGAGTGATGGCTGACGACTGATGACTGATGATTGGTGACTGATGAATGATGAATGATGACGACGCGTGATGAATGGTGACGTTAGCAATACTATGCACTTGACATGTTAAAGTTAAGGTGTTGTTTGTTTTTAAATTACCTAACTGATCGCTTTCTGATCGTACTCCGACGTGCTAGTGTTGCCAAACTGTTGTGTTCGACATCACCATTAGCGTGATAAGTGCTTGCTAACAAATGTGTCTGTGAGTTGGCGCCTCCTTCCCCATTTGGCTCAAAACTTATCGAGCCCTGACGCGATCCTCCTTTGTCAAGGGCTGCCATATCGAGCAGGCAATTAAAGAATGACTGTTTCTATTTTGTTTCGTTTTGTTTTTGTTTTCGTTTTTGTTTTCGTTTTGGTTACGTTTTGAAGTGCCGTTCGTGCCAGATTTGAGGTTCGTTTATAACATTTTGTTTGTTGTTAGTTATTTGGTGATTGTTTCATGAGTATATAGAGAAGGTTTTGAGTGTGTGTTTGTTATTATTTTGTTGTTGATTTTGGATTTTTCATTGTAGTTTCATTGGATGCGATTTGTTGGTTGGTTCGTTGATTGTATGTAGATAGCGAAACGTTGTTGTAGCGAAACAAGTTGCGAGTTCAATTTTCGGTTTTCAGTTTTCAGTTTTCATTGTTGTAGATTTGTTGGGTGAGTGGTGAGTATAAAGAGTCATGTTTGCATTGCAACGCATTAGGTTTTTTTTTTTTTTTTTTT